TGGCCTAAGAACTTAACTTCTCTCAACCAGAATTCACATTTCCCAAACTTAGCATATAGTTTATGGGCTCTAGGCAACTCAAGCACCACTCGCAAGTGTTCCTTGTGCTCCTCTTCAAAGGGTGAGTAAATCAAGATTTCGTCCACAAAAAGGACCAAAAATGGTCTAGGAATTCACGGAAGATCTGGTTTATTAAGTCCATAAACACAGCTGGAGCATTGGTTAGCCCAAAGGGTGTCACTAGAAACTCATAATGGCCATACCGCGTACGAAATATCGTCTTCGGGATATCTTTCCCTTTACTCTTAACTGGTGATGGCCCGATCTCAGGCCTATTTTAGAGAAGCAACAAGTCCCCTTTAACTGATCAAACAAATCATCTATACGAGGCATTGGGTACTTGTTCTTGACGGTTACCCGATTTAACTTCTGATAATCTATACAAAGTCGCAATGTACCATCTTTCTTTTTGGCAAAAAGAGCTGGTGCTCCCCACGGCAAAGTGATAGGGCAGATGAAACCTAAATCTAACAATTCCTGGAGTTGAACCTTCAACTCACTCAACTCAGCAGATGCAAACCTATATGGTGCCGTGGACATTAGTGTCGTGCCAGACACTAAGTTAATAAAGAACTTGATCTCTCGGTGAAGTGGTAAACTGGTAAGATCCTTAGGAAAGACATCCGAGTATTCACAAACCACCCTTGGTAACTCAACCCGGACCTCATCACACTCACTACCTAAGAAATTGGCAAGAAGGAAACTAAGTTCACTCCGCTCTCGCGGATCATACACCAGTGATAAGACTCTATCAACCCGATTCCCCAAGAAATAAAAACAATCCCCGCTCAAGGTACATACAGTAACCCTCTGACAGTAGCAATCTATGATAGCCTGATATGAAGATAATCAGTCTATATCCAAAATAACATCAAAGCAAGACATGTCAATCAACACAAATAAAAAAAGAAGTTGGCAACCGACAACCTTTATGTCACAACCCCGACACCCCTGCTTTAAAACCATCTCACCACCAATAAATGACTCTACACAGATAGAAGATGCTAACCGAGCCAACTCTAACCCCAAAACTGATACAAATACAGATGAACCCATATCAATTAACACATTAGCAACTAAATTGTGAAACAAGAAGGTACCTCTCACTACTGAAGGAGCTGGTACAAGATCTGGCACTATAACAGCATACACACGCCCTGTAGGTCTCTGATCTACTTGCTCACCCCTTGGAGCAAAAGCCGGATGCACTGACTGAGCTGAAGAGGCTCCCTGGTTGGCCTTCGAGGTCTGTGCTGACTGTGCTAGCTGGTGGCTCTGTGTCTACCTCGAACCAGACGCACTAGATGTATCGCCCAGTTAAGGGCAAAACCTCTTCATGTGCCCCGCCTGCCCACATTGATAACAAGTGAGGGGTTGGCCTCTCCCTTGACTCTGGCCTTATGAACGAGCCGAAAACGGTGCAGATCATTGCCCTCCTCCTCTCTGCAGGCAAACTGGAGATATATAGCCCACCTGGCCACACTTGTAATAAGTAACATTTCCCTGACTGCCTCTCACAGAACCCGAACTTGGCACTAAACATATGGACCTCGACTAAGCTCCCCTGGGACGACTGGGGGTTAGAACCCCTTTGTCTCTTACTATCCCCTTGAATGTCCTAACTTCTCCTAGAGCCCTTCATCATCTCTTCCTCCATCTGCATCACGGTCTCCAGATGAGCCGCTGCCTCCACAAGGCGTCCATAGTCCCTAATCATCGACTCGGCTACATTAAACATGAGCTCAGTCTTCAATCTCTTCTCAAACTCCAAACAACAGTGCTCCTCTGTCGCCACTAACTCTAGTGCAAACCTAGATAGGCTAGTGAATATGGCCTCAAATTCGGCCACCGGAGTGTTCAACTGCACAAGCTTAAAAAACTAGTCTCTCAACTTCTCTCGAACCGTGGGAGACAAAAACTCATCCTGGAAGGCACTGACAAAGGCCTCCCAAGTCACCCCAATGCATCCACGCGTATACTTCCACCACTGACCCGCATCTCCCTTCAGTTGGAAGGATGCCAAGGTCACTCTCAACTGGTCGTCCTTGATGCCAAGCATCTCGAATGTTTTTATCATCTATTCCAGCCACTCATCTGTCTTCAATGGCTCCTTAGGATCACCCACAAATTCTTCTGAGTTTGACCAAAAAATCTCTCGCTTTAAGAAAAACAGCCCTGCCTTAGTTACTTGGGGCTAGACTTGATTCTCAACTCTGAGGATGTCTATGGATTTCCACAATGCTCCAGCCATTTCGCGGGCTAAGGCGTCCATGGCCTGTTGACCCACTAGTTTGGCCACATTGGCCTGACCAACCCATTTTTCCTGCGCCGAAATTTCATCCGGTAAAGGCACTTCATGCCTCCTAAGACTACCACGCCTACCCCACTACGTCTATGTCCTAACATCCTAATGAAGGTAACAATAGAGATTAGCACATTTACAAATATGCCGAAGCTGACTTACTCATTTTCGAATGCGGTGGACAACAATAATTCACTCCACATAAGCACGTAGTCACATAAACACATACGAATTTCATTTCTGGATAATGACCGTCCAACGACATTGCTAGAGTTCCAATTAGAAACAGCAGTGATCAAGTGCTTTTCTAATAGGACTTCTAGAAATCTGTAGACCCAATCAATATCTTAGGAACTAAATTCTATACTCACATAATCACATACATGTTATCACATAACATACCATACTTACTAATGTCTCTATTAAGCGAGATAAACCCATTGTGGTAAGAACTACTTCTCACGTACCCAAAGTATTCAAATCCAGTACGCTCTGATACCAAGTTGTAACGCCCCAAAGTAAATAGAATAAACATGTCTTATAAAAGGAAATAAAGTTGAAACAAGACATTTTCATTAATCAAAGTTGGTATACAAAAGATGACACATGCATTATACATTCATAAATGGTTCATCCTGAATCTACAGCATGTGTTACAAATAATAATAAGAAATGAAAGCTAAATGGATATCCAAATGCCCTAAAAGCTTACATCTTTCCAAGACGTGTTTGGTTACAACAAAATGAGTCAAGAGCTCAATACAATTAAAGCCCTAGGCTTATACAAAAGTAAAACACAAAATAAACAAAATGAGTCTTCAGCCCCACAGTCCTCCCAAACTAAATCTTTGGCGAAGGCATATCACCAACACCTGAAAATGATTTTTCCCAAGTAGGGTGAGCTGAAACCCAGTAGAAACAATCTAACACAATGTATGAATCTTAACAAAGATATAAGTATGACGTGCATATACAATGTCTGTGATAAAATCTTTCATAATTTACAAGATCATACTATGCCAAGTTTTATATCTCATTTTATTATTCATATCATTCAATCAACCAATACTGGGGATTCAACTCATTGAATTTCAAATCAATATAATTATCATACAAACTTAATAATTTGTCATTTTACAGAAATTTCGTCCGTGGGATTGGCACCTATGTATATAAACGGTTTTCAAGACTTTCACCTTGGACACACAAGCCAACTTAATTTACTGGAGTCCATCCATTTTCTCCTCCCGACATGGAGTACATCCCCTTTCTCCTTCCAAACATCATACATATACAATGTATTAAAGCACAGTCATATTCAATGACAATCAATAAAAGATTAATTCTAATTCACCTAATCCTTATATAATTTCTACAACAATCATAACTATCTTCCACCAATAGCTCAAAACAGATATTTGTAAACAGATATACAAACTTCATGACAAATAAATTATCTAAATTTCCATGGGTGAGAGGTAATATATATCTAACTCCACCATTCATATAAACATGTATCCGATTTCACATTCCCCTTACCAATTCCATTATTTATACCAAATAATTAATTTAAACTATTTAGGTCAAAACTCCATTTTCTCTTAAAATTCAATCCACGTGTTAAAATCATCAATTTTTTCACATAACACATCCTCACATCTACAACCACAATCATTTTCAATACTTTCATTTGAAAATCTCTCTTTTGATTTTAAACCAAAACTTTAGATTTGTCTAAACTCCTTCAAATCCCACCATTGGTTTACACAATAACAAATAACTAAGTTAAAAATCATAGGAGATTGTAGAAAGTCTCTACCTAAGTTTAGAAAACCAAGGAAGAAGTGGAGAAACTCTAAAGATGCCGAAACCAAGATTGATTCGGATCAAAACGTAGCTCTCGAGGTACTCTACCTTTTTAACAAAGGCACAAGGGTGGAGAAATCACTAGATCTAGATGAAAAAGTAGAGAGAATGTAAGTTTTAGAAAGAGAGGGTCCCAACTTTAAGATTTAGAGAGAAATAGATCCAAAAAAGTGATATAAAATGATTTTTTTTATGAACTAATATACGCACAGTTTGCTCAAATGTAAGAAGTGACGCTCGAGCGTCAGACACAATAAGTTGTTCCGCTCGCTCCGCAAGAAGTGACGCTCGAGCGCAAAATACACACTCTCCGTAATTTTGCAAAGAACAAACCAACGCTCGAACACAAGAAATAGCTGCTCGAGCACAAAAAGAACTGCTCGAGCGTAGAATACATTCTCCCAGTAATTTTATAGACCTGCAAAAGTACTGAAAGTTTGCAAAGCCCTCTCGAGCGCAATAAGTGCCGCTCGAGCGCAAGAGCAAAATTCTAGACGACAAGAGTTGGGAAACTAAGCAACCAACATGTCCCAAACACAACTACAACAACCCAATAGCCAAGATTAAGGGAAAAACAAGGAAATCATGGCATAATCAACCGTACGGAACTATGAAACCCGTATCCATAATGTAACAAGGGCCGGGTCAAAACCAAAATCGGTATAACTTAATTCAAAAAACTCAAACCAAACACACACACTATTATTTTGTTTTGGATTCACATGTATAAGTAATGAGATTGTTGAACATTCACAAGCATAAGCACTCCGGAAACCCAAAACAGACATTCATAAAATACAAAAAAAAATATATTTGAACACCTGGAATATTTGTTGAATCCAGAGTATTTACACACTGTAAAACCTTAAATATCACATACAAAAAAGGACAGATTATTTAAAAATACCCAATGGAGCAAACTTGTTCCATGATGATTTATGCTGGTTTCCAAACAGTCAGTATCTCCCGAAACATCTCTGACACCAGTTCCCTGTCTGCCTGCTTGAAAAAGTGATTAATTTCATCTCTAACATCATAAATCTTTCCAAAATCAAACAAGTACATTAAGCATCCTTTTTTCAACTTGTCCAGCTGGTAAAGCCATGCTTCCTGCAACCGCTCAAGGACATTTCCCGAATTAATGTCTTCCAAGAGGCTTTCCTCGCAAGAATCTTTCAGGTTTTCAACGTCATACTTGTTTGCCGCGCCCAGCAATGCCAGCCGGTGCTTCCAGAAATCCTCTTGTTTTATGGTTCCATACAAGTAACTAAGAAGAGCCATGCAAGATTCCTGTGTCATGTCGTCTATGTCAATTGTCGATGATTTTTTCTCCTTTAGGTTGTGCAGAAACATGCTCTGGAATACAGGAGAACTCGCAGCGAGTATAGCCTTGTGAGCTCTTAATGTGCCCTCAGCAGTGTTGATGGTGACATCGGCATGGATAGCCTCATTGAGCATACGAGATAGGCATTGAAGACTGCTTTGGGTTGAAAGAGATTGCATCCTTCCATCACTAGGCCAAATTGAGCTGGCTTCCCCACCCTGAGGTTAGCAAGGAAAGGATGAGAAATTAAGATCAACTTGTTTAATATAGGCACTGTATTCTGTGGGTGATTCTCAGTAGCCAATCATAGTAAGAAGTTGCACTCTTTCTAAATGTGCAGATCTAAAATGCATTTGATTCCTCAAAAAATCGAAGATAGGCAAAACAAGGTATAATAGGCAGATTCTCAGTCATAAACTTTTTGTTTGTGTGGATCCTAATATATGCTTCCAATTCATTATTGACTGGAAAGAAGCTTTACAAACCAAAACATAAAATCACATAATCTAACAATTCCAATCCAATTTAACTTTGAAATGTGTACGACACAATAGATGACTAGACAGAGAACCTCACATTCATTGAGCACAATTTCAGGTCCAAAAACTCAACATCGATGATGAAGCGACCAAGAAAAGTGGAATCCACTGGCCAGACAAAGTCATCACTAGTCCGAAGTAGTCTCTCATGAACTGCAACATGAAAGCAATATAGCGTAATTGGAAATATATATTGCCAAAATGTCTTGTATTAATGGGTCAATTTTAAGAAGGGAAAAAAAAAAAATCTTTTGAAAGCTATATTGCAAAAAAATTTAATCACTCTTAAACTCCTTGTGAGCAAAGGCAACACCCAAAGTTTTTGGCTGGTTCTCACATAGGAATCCTTGGAAGAGCATATTATATGCACAGGTAGCACAATTGACCCTACTGTATATAGACTTACAACTTCATACATTACCACAACTAGCAAAAGGAAACCAGGTTGAAAGCGGAAAAGGTCACAACAAAGCATATTACTAAATTAACTAATTAAAAGGATTGAAAAGAACCTCCCTAAACCACAGTTCCCTAGAGTGACTGACGAGCCGCATATACTTGCCAATTACCATACTACCTAATAAATAGAGTTGTGGAAAGTTGAGAATAGAAACCCTTTCGATAAGAGGCTACCAATATACCATCAGCCCAATGTGGATAACTAATTACAAAGTAAAACAAACTAGGCCCACCACCACTTTTTGAAAGAACAATTGTTGATGAAAATAAAGGAACAATGCAAAAAGTAAATCAGCCATGTTGGATAGCTTGACATACATTTTTAAGCCCATTTCCGATCAGCTTAGGCTTTTGAGAAAATTGGCGACTTAACATGGTATTAGAGCTCAAGTTGAAAGGTCTTGGGTTCAAGTCACTCCATTGGCATTTAGTATTCTGCTCCAGTTTGGTTTCTTCTTATTTGATTGGTTCTTTCGAGACAATTGGCAACTTAACAAGTCATATGGAGTAAGTACTTTAAACAATTGCTGAGAATATTTGGAAATCACTTAAAATTGAAAAGATTTGATTATGGAATTGTAGGGCAGGACCCCTTTTCCATCTTCCTTAATTTTCTCTTTTTTTCCTTTTCTTTTCATGAAAATAATTGCTTAGCTTATTTTGGTAAAATTTTTATTTTAACCAACACTTCGATAATCTTAAAACAAAAGGGAAAAATTGCATCAACAGCCCAAAGACTCTGCATGACTTTCAAAGTCATAATCTTTTTGCTTCAACATAGGATATAAACATCAAAATTCCAACCAAAATAGGCTCTCATATGTTACCAAGACAGCATCAAAGAATATATATATATATATATAGAAACACAAGACGTATGAGAAATTGGAAACCTGGAGAGATGTAGAGTTTGCGATTAGCGCCAGTATTGGAGACACGGAGAACAAATCTAGCGATGGGAGGCTGTTCTTTGGAGGCACGAGACGGCTCTGGAAAGAGACGAATGTAGAGGTACCGATTCTTCTCAATCGACAAGTGCCTGAATTCGAATCAACCACCATACAAATCAAGTTATACACTAGATATATATATATATAGATAGATAGATAGATAGATAGAGACAGAGACAGAGACAGAGACAGAGAGAGAGAGAGAGGTGGGGGGTTACCAATTCCAAATTCCGACCTTGAAAGGATCGGACTTTCTGTAAGTGGAAGGTCCGAAGTTGTCGATCCTCCACTGAGCCAATCTCGAAATAGTCTCCACCTTCGAATCGGCAGCCATAGCTCTGTCTCTCTCTCACTTTTACCCTCTACGAAGCTCTCAGTTCGATTTATAGAGAGAGTTTGTCCGTGTCTGAGACGAAAACCAATTCACAAAAAGAGAGAGAGAGAGAGTGAGTTTGACTTGTTGCAAATAGCTTTTGACGCATATTTGTTATGCAGAAATGATTCATCCCCCTCAAACGGGGTTGGGAATCGGGAGATCAGGAAAAAAATAAAAAAATAAATAAATAAAAAATAAATAAATTAACCAATCAAATGCAAAAAGGTGAAGGGGTCAACCTTTATTATTTGTTATAAATAGATTTTTTTTAAAAACAAAAAGAAAAAATAAACATGATTTTGACGCTTCTATTTTCACACCTCATTCACTCTTTTCAAAAAATTCTCAGGTAGCTTTTGACGCATATTTGTTATGCAGAAATGATTCATCCCCTCAAACGGGGTTGGGAATCGGGAGATCAGGAAAAAAATAAAAAAATAAAAAAATAAAAAATAAATAAATTAACCAATCAAATCTATTTGTTATAAATAGATTTTTTTTAAAAACAAAAAGAAAAAATAAACATGATTTTGACGCTTCTATTTTCACACCTCATTCACTCTTTTCAAAAAATTCTCAGGTCATAAATTTAAAGATTGATTTAGAATGAGGTAAATAAATATATTTTTTAATTTTTTTTATAAAATGATATATAAAATATAAAGAAGAGTTATTAATTAATGTGACTTAAATAAATATATTTATATAAAATAATATACTTATATAATTTAACTCAAATAAAACTTTAAATCATAATTTTATTTCTCCCGTTAGCTTTTTGACCCATATTTGTTATATTTCATTAAAATACTTTATCTAAAAAAATAAATTTAGATAAAATGATAAAATCATCCATATATAAATATATTAAACGATGACTAAATTCTCAAATACATCACATTCTGTTTCACGCTCTCTCTCTCCCGTTAGCTTTTTGACCCATATTTGTTATATTTCATTAAAATACTTTATCTAAAAAAATAAATTTAGATAAAATGATAAAATCATCCATATATAAATATATTAAACGATGACTAAATTCTCAAATACATCACATTTTTCTCTCTCTCTCTCTCGTACTTCCTTTTCAAACCTTAGCGCTCTCTCTCTCTCTCCCGTTAGCTTTTTGACCGATATTTGTTATAAAAAAATAAACACTTTTTTCAAAAACAGTTTTCTATAAGTTTTTTATTTATATTTTTAGTAATTTTTAAAATATTTTACTCAATTTTTTTATTCTTTTTAATTTACTTAATCTTGATATACTTAAAAAATATATAATTTATACAAAAATATTATTAAAATTTATTGAATACAATAAAATATGAAATGTATTAAATCTTTTTATTTAATTGCTCCCTTGCCCGTAAATAAATAAATAATAATGGCAAGTGGTAAAAGATCATTGGGGTCAATTTGTCCACACAAAGTACAAAAATAGTTAAGAAAAATTACATTTTAGTTGGATAGTAAAAAAAAATATAATATTTTTATAGTGATGTAAATTATTTTTTTTTGTATATGATACAAATTTTTTTTTTTTTTGGCATATCATACTTGCACTAAAAAAATATTTCACTTTTGGCATAATTATTTAAAATTACTTCACTTATTTATAATTTTCTAAAAAAGTGAATTTATTTATGTATGTCAGAAATTTCACTTTGATGGTGTGTTATGTGATTATTATTTAATATTTTGCTTTTCTCTGGTTCATTATTGAGGTGCCGTTGTGTGAAGTCATCATGAGTTAACTTGATGGATTCAAATAATTCATTTTATACAATAAAATTTTGTTTGGGAATTAAATATTTTAGTTAAAAAATTAAAAAAATATTATAAATTATCATATCATTCTTTTTATTTTTTAATACATCTTTTAGTAAAAAAATTAAAAAATTATTAAAATAATATATTTTTAAATGAGACTTAAGTATACTTTAAAAGTAGATAATTATTTTTTGCATGACTTTGTGATTAGATGACTATTAATATTAAGTAATTTAATTTTTTTTACATGCATAATCTTCTTGACAAATTTCATGCTAAAATATTTGAATTGATCAAAATGGGCACGTGACGAGAACAACAACTACAGTCCAAACAATAGACACACGAAAAATCAAATTCTTATTTTATGAATTGAATGTTAGAAGTGATAGCGATTCCTTTTTTCTTTCACTGAGTTAAAAAAATACAAAAAAATAAAAAGTAAAAAGTTGACCAATCTCAATACATTAGAAACAGTGGAAATCACGAAAAAAAAAAAATCTCAACCATCTCCCTTATATTTTTGTATTGTACTTATTTTTATACAAAATGTAGAATCAAAATCCTTAACATGCATTTATAGCTCATTCCCTTGTGAATCTGGATCCTCGGCCGCCCTACCCGACAGCCCCCCAAAACGACGTCGTTTTGGGGATTTTTTGGTTTTTTTTTTTTTTTTTTTTTTTTTTTTAACTGAATTCTTGCCTATTGTCTATAGAGGGAGAGTCAGAGGGAGGAAGGAGGAGAGAGGAGGAGGAGGAGGAGGCTGCGAGCTCGCCGTCCTCGTCCCTCGCCGCCGTCGCAGCCGCCGTTGCAGCCGTCGCAGCAGCTCCACCTCGTCGCAGCACCTGCGACCGCCGTCACCTCCGCCTCCGACCCGTCTCCACCTCCTCCTCCTTCTCCCCTGTATTTATGGCCCCCTCCAGTCCGGCCCTCCTCCTCCTCCTCCTCCCTCCTCCTTCCTCCCCTCTTCCTCTGCTTTTTTTTTTTTTTTTGAAAATTTTCCTCCAAAACGACGTCGTTTTGGGGGGCTGCCGGATAGGGCTGCCGGGTTGGGCGGCCGAGAATCCGGACTCTTCCCTTGTGGCTATGACTTTTACGAGTTATTACATTGACATGTGTTGTAATTATAACTAAATTATTTATAGTCATAATTAAAAAATAATAGTTGGTCATAATTAAACATTATATTAAGTATAATGAAAAAAATAATTACAATATATCATAATTAATATTATAATAAGTCATAATTAATAATATAATTAATTATAATTAAATAATAATTAATTTCACATACGTTATTTCTATAATACACTTCTCAAAATAAGTCTCTATTATAGAATTTCCATGCACTTTAAGATACACATTAACCAAAGAGAAAAAGGTTGGGACTCCCTTTCTGGAGAATCCCAGCCACCCTCAATATATTGTGATCGGTCAACTTTTTATTTTTCTTATTTTTTGTTTCTCTTTGGTTGACATGTGTCTATGGGAGTTGTAAAAGTCAAAAAAGGAGGGTCTGTATCATTTCTGTAACCAAAAATTTATACTTTGTTTGTGCTATCATGATGCATTGTTGGCAGTTAGCGCTCATTTTGGAATATATTATTTTAGTAATTTTTTGATTAAAATATAAGGTAAAAAAAATTAATATATTTAGAATACTTTTTAAATTTTTTACAAAAAATCTACAAAAAGTAGAGGAAATTTATTTTTTATTTTTTGAAATAAATTATTAATTTTTTAATTTTAAAACTAAAATAATGAGCTACGAAATGAGGCGTTAATATTTGTTGGGTAAATTACATTGACACCTTTGAAGTTTGGTCTAATTACTACCCATCCTCTGAAGTTTTGAAAATTACATTTCTACCCCTGTGATTAATAGTTTCATTTCACAAACTCCCTACTTATATAAAAGGTAATAACTCTTAATAGAAAAACAGATGAAATTACATTAAAAAAAAAAAAAGTAAAGAAAAGGAAAAAAAAGAAAAAAAAGTAAAGCGAAACAAAAAAAGAAAGAATACATGAGTTTAATATTTTTATTCCGTCTAAATAATTACAATAATAAAAAAATTAATATCATTTTTCAAATGTCAAGAAATAATATATATTAAATCCAAACATCGGGCTAAGTGATATTTACCCGTATTTGTTTAACAAAGTTATTTGTACCTTTCAGTCTTGTAAGATTTCAATTTCAGTTTTCTTGCCACAAAAGCACAACCGACATTGCTTTTAATTTGTGTATGAGTGTGTGTGTGTCTAAGCTTTTGAAGCTACTTTTTAATAATTAAAAATTAACTTTCAGATTTCAACTTTAATTTTGCCACAAAAGCACAACCGACTATCTTTTAATTATTTTTATCTTGGTGCGCCTAGAAGGTACTTTTTAAGAATAGTAATATAGAAATCAGGGGGAAAAAAAAATAGTAATAATAATATCAAATTTGTATATAGTACCCTTTTAAACAAATAATTAAAAATTAATTTTTAAATTAAATAATAACATAAAATTATTTGACAAGTACAGAAAAAATAATTAAGAATTAATTAAATTTTAACTATTTTCATTGGAAGTTTTATTTATTTATTTATGACATTAATTTTATATTCTGAATTTTTAATAAGAATTAAATCTCATAAGCACCATTAAATCCTAGTTTTGGAAATGTTAAACCATTTAGTCCTTTCTTCTTCTTTTTTTTGAAGACAAATAGATCCCATTTCAATGTTAAAGACTTTGCAGCCTATGTTTTTATGAGGTACGTGTCTAAAATTAAGGGTAAATACAAGTTTTGTTGGTGTTTAATTTACCAAAATGTCCAACATTGAAATGCATTGTTCCGATGTTGTTCCTCTACTGTAGGTGAATGTGGAAGGTTGTTTCTGGGTTGTGGATTGTGATTCCGACGTTGCAGCGATTCTGTTCGCGTAATTCTTGTGATTTTGTTGTTGTTTGGTTTGGTAATGTTGATGTAAATTCGAAATTTCTCATTTGTTTGCCACCGAAAACCCTAGGTAGCTCAAACCCTCATTCGTTGAAATACGTTGGAACGTCATCAAGTTGGGTCTCAATAACGTTTTGTCCATCAATTGGCGTTAAATCTGGAGGTGAGATATTGTCAGCGTCGACGATCGTTGTGTGAACACATGGCGGCAGGTATGTAATGTTTGTCTCTCTAATGTGTGATTGTGATTTCCCGTTGGGGATTGTCGAAATGGAGATGTTAGGTTGTAACCCCTCATTGATTGTTGATAATTAGGTTGATGTTGTGTGCTGTGTTATAAATTGGTGTGTTATTGGAAGGACTTCTGTAAAATTTAA